GTTTGTTTAAGCGTATTCAAATTTAAGTGGCCGTGCACCATCTCGGATTGTCGTCATGCTGGAAAGAATTATGTGAAATTTACATGAGTATGGCGGAAATTTAAACAGAAAGTTTAAACATACTTCAATAATTTCTCATCACATATGACGTTTTTGGAATCTACTACATGTCATTTACAAGTAACTTTAAAGAGAGAAGGGTCCGAATTCTGATGATCTAAAAATGTTCAAAAACAGTCCATAAATTGACGGGTCACTCTGAGAGCCTAACGGCTTACTCTCGGATATTATACATTATAATTACTTATTATCCATTACCATTATGGAAACAAAAACGAAACGAATTTAAAAAATTAGCAAATTTTTGCACACATACAGCAATATTTAAATCTTTGTTTTAACAGTGAATGCAGTTTTAAACTGAAACCCAAGTAAGATCTACTTCTGTCGTATCGAGGACCAATAAGATTCGAGCTTTTTAATTTTGGGAGTACTTTACATAAGGCCCCTGAAAAATTTAAAAATTTTGAAAAATGACTTCAAATTTGTTCTTTGTATGTTTTGCTCGAACATCGGAAAGTGAATTTATAAACATGATGAAGATTCTCATATATATCTGGAATTTCAAAAGTTCAGATATTTTTCAAACCTATCTTACATCTCTAAAATTAATGTTAGAGATTTATTTCTTGATACAATGTATGCCTCAATTTTGGATCTTTAAATGATTCCATGAATTTTTTAAGTGCGAGTAGTTGTTGACTAATAACAGTAAGAAAAAGAAATAATTTGGTGTGCTGTTTACTCCCACTAGTTTGTGGAAGAAGGCGATTCTGCAGCAAAGATTCTAAACACTTGGTATATGGTATAAATAATTTGTGTGTGCTTCCTTGAGAAATTATTATTCCTTATGGGATTTTTATTAAAAATTTTCATAAGATCTTCATCGTAGAGTGTATATTGCGGGATGCGACCAGCTGCCAACATTTCACCAGACCGTTCATGCATGAACGTATGAGTGAGTGTGCCAGGAGTAAAAGAATCGTCGAGGGTACTCATTTCATAGGCAGCGTTGCAGGTGGTCGTTGCAGGCGACGAAACTTGGAAGAGTCGATCCGTTGTGTTGTGTCATCAATACGCAAGACGGCAGCCACATTGATTCATGTCGCAGTAGTGTTTTGTGTATAAGCAGTGGCGTAGCCCGCAATGCGGGTGGGTCCAGGTCAAAGAGGACATACTTTTAGGATGAAGGTTTTGTGATCGTATACAATCTTCTTATCTTCAGTATTCTTATAAGAATACTTTCTCCAAAACTGTGCGATAGTTGATACTATAAAAAAATTAAAAACAGCATCTTCCAGAAGAACATTTTTTTCCGCTTCGGAAATGTAAATGTACTTTTCTTAGCTTATGAAGCTCTGTTTCTAAATCAATAAAGGTAAGCAATTAATTTAGGTTGTATAGCAGTCTTAACTTCATAAAATTTAATAATTAAGACAGATTTTTCGACTATTGGTTATTAATCATAGACGGATGAATACGAATTTGTTGAAAGATATTTTTATAACTTTAGGTACCAACACTCCTTGTGTTTGCTGTACACTTTTATAAAAGAGGGTCGGATAAACGTTTTGCGGGCGGGACTGAACTCATTCGTTATACTGTTTGTAAGTATGTTTTATACAGCATAACTACTTCTCGCACCGGTTAGGGTGGCTCAGGGCATCAACTGACGTCACTATAGTGCCTATGACCGGTAGATTCTAGAATTCGAGTCCCGACGGCGGCATGAACTATATAGCTAGGTAGAAATTTAGCCGCTGCCTGGAGGAGAATTCTAGCCATCAGCTACTCTGATCGAGTGTTTCGTGATTTCCCCGACCAACACTAGGCAAATGGTGGAGCAGAAGTAACAAAGGGGCCACGGACCGCGCGCGATCTTTCCTTTCCATTCCTTGTCCTATCCTCACCCCTTACTTACACTTACACGCCCTACACTACCACTCCTGTCGGAAGACCAGTAAGGAGCTTAGAGCTTGTCACGGCTGGGGAGGTGCCGTGTTGGAGGGAGATTCGCTGTTGGGGAAAATCCTCTCTAGTTGACGTCTAGGTCGGCGCCGGATCTCGCCATCCAGCTGGGGAAGATCACCGCCACCCTCCGCAATAAAAACATTCACTACACTTACGGTACTAATGACTTTAAACTTTGACACGACCGGAAGCGCTAATCAATACACCAATCAACTACTTCTCCCACTAAGTCTTCCTTCCCAATCAGAAAACAGCAAATGCGGAAGTGGTTTCCTTGACAAGCGCTGAGTTATTTGTGGAACGAGTGGTAAAAGTGACATTTTATTTTGTGAGTAGGAAAGACTGCGACACGAGGCCGACAGACCGCGTGGCTCAATCCTTCAAGCAAACTAAATTCACTTTTACCACGTGTGTCATTCACTATTTTTAGATAGCCTCACTGGCTTTCTTTTTATTTGTATTCCCGAATAAAAATTACTTAATGATATATTAATCTCACCAGTAGCTGATGCGGTCGGACGGAATTATTTTGTTTGCTTTGCTGCACTCGCAGATCTGAACTCTTGAACATCGTCTCCTACTTTTAGGATCCCAGAAACTCGTGGAGGAGAAAATGAAACAGAGTATCGTTAACATAGTTTATTGTACTTACCCGGCTAGTGAATCCATCATCCCCTCCCCCCCGGCAGCGTAGCCTTTGTCTGGAGAGTGGGTGGCGGCGCGACGGGTGCCTCCGGCATCACTGGTGGTACCACATCAAGAGTGGGCGAGGTTTGAAACTCTCGTTCGCCTTTTAATAACCTCGGACTGCTGACGTCGACAAGTGAGAACTGGGTCACCCACCGGCGGCATCGTGTCGCGATGGGGCCGGAATGCGACATCGGGACAGTTGACATACATCAATTAAAGTACTTGTCATGAAGAGCGGGAATATTCTTCGTTCTTGGTTTGAAATTATTGGAGTGAAAGAAAAAATAATTATTTTAAAATGAATGGATGTGTTTGCTTTTTCGGCTTCATACAATTGCTAAAACACGCTATTACAACACCAGTTGTTCTCTGAAATAGTATTGGTAAATGTTGTTCCAGTGGCTTAGTGGCAGAAAAGACGTGTAATTGTCTATATTTAATGACCGAATAGATAAGTGAGATCTCAAGCGTTTCAAGATAAATTGGCCATATCTGCTGCGATTTCAGTTAGTAATTAAACAGATATATTTCTCTTTCGTTTCAAAAATGTCCGTGGCAATGAACAAGATCATATATTATCAGTAAATAGACAGAAGAATAATCTGCTCTTCCTTGTACAGTTCTTTGGAAATCATTGGGAAATCAGTAGTTCATTCGAAAGGGTTGTACGATTGTTTGAACTAAAGTAAATGACTAGGAAGCCATAATATATTTTAAAGACTGATTGTAACATGTCGGCCCTTTAATTTCTGTTCAAAAATATGATTAAATCTTATTGAATGGATGTGAATGATCCATGGATCGTTAACTCAGTATCTTCAATAGTAACATATTGTATTAATAATAAATATTAATACTAAAATTATAAAATAATATTCGAGACTTGTAGAGCTGATTCACCAGGTCATTGCACATCTATTCAATAATATTATTACAAAGGGATGTAACAGCGGCCATTCATTATGATTGTATTAAATATCATTAATCCACATTCGTAAGTACACGCACAGTACCTGGCAGTGGACCAAAGGAGAGGGGTGACAAGAAGAATCTAATTGGCTTCAATAATAGTTATCTGCATACTCCAGCACGGGCTCAGCCAGTTTGAACCAATTTTAAATCAATGTAGTAAAACCGACGTCGATAACCCCATCAACTATCCGAGACAAGCCTCCGACTATTCGACTATCCAAATCAGCTCGATTGTATTTACATTCCTTCATTTTACATCTTTAAATAAAAGTCGGAAACTACATATCGTGTTCTGCAACTACTTTTTTTTACAAAACTACTCATCCATCGTTACTGCCATGGCTTCCAATCCACCAAGTGAAGGTTTGTGCTGTACCATTTTCGAGTTAGCTCATTGGCGAGTTTCGTCGTTACGTGTCGGTTCGCAGGAGCAGCTTCTCACATTTTATTGCTCCCTTTATTATCATCATCAGCGGAATTCTCTTACAACAGTGCTTCCAGTGCACCGGCTGTTGACTTTCCCTGAGTTACAAGGAGGAGCGAGCGGGGCGTTTCCGCCCGCGCGCAACGTCCTCCTCAGTCGTTCTGCACTCACGAATGCCACGAAGGCGGCCTGCGCCCGCTGACTCACTGCGCGATACCCGCCTCGAGTCGCGTAGCTATGCGAGCTCTTGCCAGCTCGTGCGGTATGTGATATCACTGGAGGGCCTCTGACCGGGGGGTCATAGGGTTTCAGCCCCGACGGTGGCAGGAATTTCTAGGTCGAATTCAGCCGCCGTCTGGGGAAGAATTCAAGCGGCTTGCTGCTCTGATCGATAGCTTTCCGCGGTTCCTCCGATCGAATGCCAGAGAAGTACCCTAACAAACGGGTTACGGATCGCGCGCAATCTTTCCTTTCTCTTCTTTGTTCTAAACTGACCCCTATGTTAGACATGCACTACACTACCACCCATACCGGAAGATCAGTCGGGAGCTTAGAGCTTGTCCCGGGTAGGGCGGTGGTCCGCTGGTGGGAAATGCTTGGTTGGGGAAAACCCCGGAAGCCGATGGGTAGGTCGGCGCCGGATCTGGTCATCCACCGGGGTTGGAGATCAACGCTACCTTCCGCAATAAAAATATTCACCACACATATGGGATTAATTAATTTAGAGCGCCCACTAATCAATCAAATCGTGCGAAATGCAACATCCTAAAACTCAAGCTAAGTTGTCACTAAAACGCGAGCTCAAAAATCGTCTAAAAATGAAATCAGACCAATGCAGATTTAAAGGTTAAAAGCTTGTTGTCAATGTGACATTTCGTTGCAGATATGGGTGGCTTTGCTTAGCAATCTGATGTGGAGCGGTGTTGATTCCACGATGTTCGAGCCGGTGTGCCCGCCTGTGAAAATCTATGGTCCCTGCGGCGAAAACTGCGGGGCGGGCTGCAGGCCGCCACTCATTTGCTGCAGCACCGGTTGCGGCAGAGCCTGCAAACTGCCCGTCTACAAGAAATGCCCGCTGCCGGAGTTGCCGCCTCATCCCTGGGTAAGTGTGGGCGCCGGTCATTTCTTTTTCGGGTTAAAAAAATACTGCAGACATGGTGACATTAATAGAAATCCATTCGAAAATCCATTCATCCACTTCGACCACCCAGAACAAATAGAAAAAGGTACGTGGGGGCAGATGGAATGTTAAACAAAGTGTATACATATTAAGTAAAGTCGGGGAGAGGAAGTTGAAGAAAATACGTTGATAACTTTAATAGGAGATACGCGAGATTATAAAATATAAAAATGTAGAATTAAACATTGATGCCCTTAGGAATGGATTGAAACTGTTACTAATTCATTAAAATGTGATTCAGTGAACGTGGTCTGGCAAAATTTTCCAATAACAATTGAGGGTCAAAAAGTGTTCTCGTTACAATTTCCTGGTAATTACCAGAAGAGTGACAAAAGATAAGTCATTCAGGAATGGGCTTCGGTTGATCTTCAGTGGATAATGAGCTGATTAAAATTTACCGGCAGGCTAACACGATAGTGCCAACAGTTAGTGGACGAAATGTTTCCTTCAGTGCAGCAGTCAATATCCTGGAAATAGTACGACAAGAAGTGATAGCGTACTAATTTTAATTATTTTTGCGAGTTTCTGGAAAAACACGTAAGCCAACATGTAGGTGGGAGCCGGATCTCACGTTTTTACTGGAGAGAAACATTACCACCTTCTGGAAAATACCATGCACTACACTGACGGAAACAACGGCCTAAGTTGCTGGCATGCTCAGACTCACGCGTGTCAAGTCATACCCTACATACACCACTCGCTGATCCCTCTTTAATCGAACCCTTACACGAACGCTGGTGAGGGCTGATACTTTGTCATTCAGAAGAAACCCTTCACCGAACTCAAACTTTGAAACAAACAAGGCGACCTTCTACGAACAAGGCGAATTATTGTGAACGAGTGTTTCGGCCTTTGGTGAGGAATTTCCAGTGAAGAATTCTTCTAGACTACAAATATCCTCGTTTCGCCCAGCTACCGTCTACCGCCTTTTAGTACCTCAAGCCCGTCACATTGCGGAACTATTGCTTTATTTATTTACTAGTTGACTGTGGCGTCGCCGACGCTGCAAATTGTTTTAACAGTATCTTCCTGTTCTGAAAATTTCTACGTATCATTTATAGCTTTGTTTAAATACGTTCTTACTGTATCTGACATTGGACATATCAATGAATCCTAGTGGCTCATAAGTGATAATGTTACACTTCCGTTCATAAATTCCAAACGACCTGGGGCTTTGTATGTTTCCTTCATACGGGATAAGAACAGGAAATATTGAAATTTTAAAATTGTGATCGCCCTAAAAAATTCTTCCAGGTATGGATGATGCGAATAGTTCATCAACATTTTGTACGCTTTTTTGCTAATATGCACAAAAATGCACATAAAAGATCACGCTGTTCAGTTTTCAGTGTTATTCTCTAATAAGGCCATTCTCGATTATTTCCTAAAAGAATGACGCAAAACCGTTTACAATTATATTTTATTCTTCCCTGAATTTGCTTAACAATTCCATAAATTTGTTCCCTAATTTTTGAATCGATTAAAACTCCACAAACTCAGTCTAATATGTGTTCACTTCTTCTACAATTGCTCTATTAATCGTCTTGTAAGTGAATCTATGCAAACATTAAACGCTAACGGTTTTGTGTGTTTAAGTGAATAAGATGTTAGATTAAATAAGGTATAGTTGAATAAGAATGAGTTGTTAGTCTTTTTCATTTGAAAATCGGTATTTGCACCTTTAAGAATGTAAATGTGCTTTCATTATCTAGCATTACTCACAGTTCTGGTTTTCTCCGTATTCACTTGAAGTTCTTCAAATTTAATACGTCCATATGTTTTTGCACATTTATTTTTAAAAGTACAGTACCACGGATGGAAATGGAATGAGATCTCCTGCACGATTCAGTTTGGTACTAAGAGGTGGCAATAATCAGTGTCATATAATAAAATTTGATGCAGTGGAGCGAAAATTACCTCTGTTACTGGAGTTTTATTAAGGTGAGACGGTAGGCCCTATCTCATTAATGCTAAAACAAGCAACTTTGTGACCCATTTTCTTAGGAGTTGCTGAATAAATGTTAATGGATTTTGGACTACTGAGTAAGTGGTGCATGAAGAGATTACTGATTCTCAGTTGAATTTTTACCTCTATTCTGAAGCAATTTATAATTCTTTTAAAAGAACTAATTTTTCTCAACAAGAACGTGCAAAACAATTTCTAACGCATGGAGTACAGAAGTAATAATCATTATTGAGGATCCACATTCTTAGTATAGCATGGTTTATGATCACAGAAAATTTCATACAGATACCTTGAATAGTTTTTTAAATAATGGGGGCCAACGTTTGAAAATTTTAATTTCTGAGAAGGTGACTTCTCAAAGTTTTCAGAGAAGTATAAGTTAGGAAAACGTGGAATATTTTTCACTAAAGAGTAACTCAAGTCAGCCTACAACGTAATAAAAGGTTTCACTATCTTTTAGACCAGCCTGAGTTTTTATTTTCTTATTTCTTACCTCTTTTGACATTCGCGGATCATCATATGCGAAATCTGTGAAGTTCTCTACCAACATCAGCATGGTTAATCCCACGTGACACACATACATTTTTCAGCGCTTCTCATTTGGAACCATTTCTATCGTTCTATAATAAAACAGCTTCAGATACTCCTAATTGTAAGGTTTTGAGACCAACAAAAATAGTTTTGTTGTACAAATTACAAATGGTGTTCTTGAATGCCTCACATTCTGTATTTTGCCATGGAGACATCTTTTGGCATAGTCTTTGGCATGTCTTCATCTAGTCTAGTGTTCATATAATTCTCGTCTGTATTTACACCTGTTTCTTCCTTTTAGATGCACTAGGAGGAGTTTCACAATGAATTCACATTCATATTATCATCATTTTCACGATGCAAATAATTTGATCTGATACGAGTATGCTGATTTTCTTTGAATAGGCGTCTTTCAAAGATTCCTTTACATTTTGTCATTATAGAACATATAAAACTATTTCTATTAATTTTGTAGTCTTTAACACACCGTAATTGATAACAAATTGATCTTTACAACAAACACGCTTAAAACGTATGAAGCAATTGTTAACTAAACAAATGCAATAACAAAAATTTGACTATCGCACAGATAGTTGTCAGCACCTGCAGACACAATTCCATTACAAAAGAAAACAAAAACTAGCTCCCTATCAAAATTGCATCCATTGATATTAAAAGTTGTATAATGTAATAATGTATGTGTAATAATAAATGTCGTACACTTATACATAGCATATGTGAATGAATCTGACGTAGAAATTTTTATAATAGAACTATTATGAAAAAAAGAAAATTCAATTTTTTTAAAATTAAAAATCGATCTACCGTCTCACCTTAACTCATACATCTACATTCATCATAACGCATACATCTATTTAGATATATTTAGATGGCGTTGGTTTAATTTCCGATCGCAGCGCTAAAACACACAAAAACACGTTTTTAAAAAATTCTTAGAATATTCTGGTCGGATCCGAAAATGTCCAAGACGCGTCGAATGACACCTTACATGTCTCGTGTACGGGAAGTGTTCTAACTGTGAGTGACAGACGCACGAACCTACGGTCACTCGTAGTTACTCAAATACTACATAGGGATTTACAGTTGAGAGGTTGCGACAGGAATTCTCACAAACTTCACTTTCATGAAATTTGAGATATTGCCGTATATCAGTAGTTTATCACTAGACGTCATTAATGAGACTTAGTTTGCTGCCTTTTGGTAGTTGAATGTGAAACAACAAGGCAATGTTAATATCCATTTCTCATGAGTATCAAGGTAGGAGAGGATAAGATTAGGTGAAATTCTTCTTAATAAAATACTTACAGATTTCAAATCCAAATCCATAACATCCTCACATTACAAGTAATAACTTCAAGGGAGAAAATAAAAATTGATCAATATAGCTAACCTGGAGCGAGCATTGGTGAGATGTTTCCCTTGGGTTTTCGGTTTCGGCTGAATTTAAAACTGACAGGTGATTTGTGGGCGTGACCGGAGAGTTGGAAACCAACATGGAGATTTCAAACATGACAAATTGCACTTCCTAAGCGGGCTATGACAATAAGCTAGTTATCACTTTCCACCTCATCAACGCGTAAGCCCACAATGCGTCGCTCAAAACGCCATTCTAGCCCTCGACTCTGTTCTTCTGGTACATGCTAAGCAGAACTAAGCAACGAGATTAATAAATAAAACTGCATCTGAGAGAAACAGGTACGAATCTCTCTCGGATACTTCATTCGGCATGATCTACATCTCAACTGTGCTGGAAAAAATTCACTCGATAGGGAGTAGGCACAACATACCATAAACTCGAAACATCTCTTCTTTCTTTTGGTTTGCCTCTCTCACCTTCTTTAATTTCTATTTCCATCCCTGTTTCGAATCATTTTATCTGCTGTGGACCTACTTCATATTTTACCATTCCCATTACCAATTCTTCTCCACATTCCACACCCCTGCTGGGACACGTAATATGGTTGATTGACTCTTTGACCACGCTCTCGTGTTGATTGATTACATCGTGTTTCTGGGCGCGTCAACTACAGTGGTCAATAGTCCCGTACGTGTAGTGCGTGTTTTATCACGGTATGTAATAGTGACGGGGTGGTGATCTGGCTGGAGAGAGGTTTGTCCCCAACCAGGTACCTCACACCAGCAGTCACCGCCCCAGCCGGGACAAGATTTATGCTCCCGACAAGTGTGGTAGTGTAGTAGATGTAAGCATAAGTTGCTGTAAGTAAAGCGTGAGGATAGGTCAAGGAAGATGAAGGAAAGATCTCGCGCTATCTACGAAACTGCCCGCAGCTAGAATTCTCCTCCAGACAGTGGCTGAATTCGAGCTATCCTATCTAGTAGTGCCGAAAGGTCTGCCACCGTCTGGACTCGAACCCTAGGACCCAGTCGGAGTCACTGCAGTGAC